GCGACCGGTTTACGGAACAAGGAGTTAAGCAAGGGCCAGGTTCTTTCATCAATCTCCTGGCCGAAGCCCCATTATAATATAATGCTGAGCCGTTGTGTTCAACTTCGCGGTTGTANGGTTCTTTCATCAATCTCCTGGCCGAAGCCCTATTATAATATAATGCTGAGCCGTTGTGTTCAACTCCGCGGTTGGAAGGATTTTTTGCTGCCGTCTGTCTTTTCCTTCTCTCTCTTCTCTTAGCAAAGTAGGCTCAAGTCACACTTTTTTTGGCTTGCTACAAGCTGGGCTCAGGGACTGCAGTCAGCCGCTTCCCCTGTAGTCGTCAGCTCGTTCTTGATAGATCCGATCGGGTGTTCATAATCTGGAGTAAAAGGATTCGAACCTTTGCATGCCGGTACCAAAAACCGATGCCTTACCACTTGGCTATACTCCATACGGCCTGTTTTGGATGGTAGAACGGGGAGAGGGGGAAGGGAGAAGCAGGGCTCGAAGAACGAGCCGAGCCGTGCAAGGACGCAGGGATATAGCAAGTAAGCAGCAAGGTTCTCCCTTTAGGACCGACTACAACAAGCTCGCGGCTCTAATAGAAACAAACGGTAAGCTCTCTGCTCTATCTGCTTGCAATGCTATGCCTATCAAAGTTGGCGAACGCTTCTGTAACCTTAGACTCGTTACGCTGTTCGACTGAACTCGTTGACTCCGCGTCCACCGAAAGTCGGTCACCTTCGTCACCGTCAGCATTTGGTACTTTCTCGATAGCTTCAATAGTTCACTGAAAGCCTTTGGTGCGCAAGCCCTTCAGAAAGAAAGACATAATAAGTAAGAAAGGGTTGGTTTGGTTAAGAACTATTGACTGTAAACCATAGCACTTACAGTCACTCAATGGAGATGTTCGCCTTTGGAATGAAGATGGATGAACAGGCACTTGAGCCTGGAACTGATGAAATTCGGGGAAAACATGGAACCGGTCACTATACTGGGGGGGCGAGACATGACCGCGACTTAAGATTCAAGTACCGTTGAAAAGACTAAAGGAACGGGGGAATGACTACCTGTAATAAAGCACAGGCAAATACGAGCCGACCAGAAGAAGCTTAGATTACCAGATCCTGGACACAATCTTCCTAGAGATTGAGAGCCCCTTGCCTCTCCTTCTTGCTTGCTTACCTAGCTCTTGTCTTAGTGACTCTTCCTCTTTTCTAGGTTTTTTTTTTTCTGAGTCTTAAAACGGTAGATTTTTCATTTGCCAATGAATTGGATCCGCCCCGATTCGATCAATAATGGGATTCTTGGCTAGAGAAAGGTTCTGTGACATGGACGCCCAGCCCCCAACTCGGTCGGTCGGTTGGCCCACCTAACAGATGATGAGATTCTCGATCGATTTGATCGAATTTCAAAAAGTCTTTCTCATTATTCAGAACAGTAGAGCTTTCGATCAAGATGTTATCGCCTCCCCCGTTTGGGCTCTCGCTCGAATCGGAACCCTTATGCGTTTGCGTTGGTAGGCTTTCGACTCAATCTAATAGCCTATTGATTTATTTAGGGCGCCAATAAAATAGAAAGTTTTCGCATGGGCTCATCATCTGATGCAGAACCGATGCGAGAGGGAGAATCAATATGGGAGAAGCGGGGATTGATAGCTTTCAAGAACCAGTGGAAAGGAAGGAATGCAGGGAACAACTCTTTCCTTCCTTTCCAAAGATAGTAATTAGTTTGGGCTGGTATAAAAGATTTGATTGAATGAACGCCACCTTGGTTGTTTTCAAACAAATCCAATGTTGGGCCAAGCGTTGCCAGCCGGTAATAGCCGAAGGCAAAAAAGGGGGAGATAGGGAAGAGGAGATTAAGGATAGTCACTCCACTCCATAGATAGTGCACACAGATTCTTCTTGAATTTTCAATTCCTTTCGGGTCGGAAACGCGGGCTGCTAGTGGGGCTGGCTGTGCCTATTCTCCCTCTTCTTCCATTCCGCTTTACAACCGGAATAAGGAACCTTAGAATTCACCCTACTAGTCAANATTCCTTTCGGGTCGGAAACGCGGGCTGCTAGTGGGGCTGGCTGTGCCTATTCTCCCTCTTCTTCCGTTCCGCTTTACAACCGGAATAAGGAACCTTAGAATTCACCCTACCAGTCGATGAAAAAATGGGATTTGAGAGGAAGACCAGCTAGCGGATCAGAAAGATTTGTATGGAATGTCCTACTCCTGCCTGAGCTTTCCGATCAACCAATCCCCTATTTCAGGGGCATCTGTGTTAGGTAGGCCCGGGGATCACTGATTAGTCGAATGAGCCCATCCCCCACTCAAAAGCCTATCATTTGTTGGTCGATCCGGCTGGTGGCTCTTGCATCTCCTGACTGCGTCTCTATGGGGGCCCTTTTATACAAGTTTGCTGCTAGGAGTCCCTCTCCTCTAGTCGAATCAATCAAAAATAGAAGTCCCAATAGAATTTTACTGACCTGGCTCTTCAATCGACGATCTACTGCTCCCTCTTAGTTGCGGATGCCCATGCTTTGATTCGAAAGCCCTAGCCAGTGATGAATCCCCAGGAAGATCGGAGTCTGAAATTCCTCCCCCCTTCAGTCCAGTTTGAACCCGTCCCAGCAACGAACACCTTCTTACTGCAAGGTGAGGCTCTGCCCTTCCCCTAGAATCCACTCCGGGTCGGAGGAACAGCTAGTCCAACTTCTTGAGCAGCCAAGATATTGAACAACGAACATTTTCTTGAATACCTTGCCTCACCCTGTGATAAGAGGGAAGGTCGATTTGACTCGAATCCTGGACCTGATCTTTAATCCTACACCGGTTAATGATGCGATGGGAGAAGTTTTTCTTTTTTCATTTTTTCATCAATGCTGGCCCAGTCGAGGCTCGTCCATGCCCAATCCCAATGGACAACCCTTCGATTTGCCTCTAGCTCTATAATCCACCCGTCTTCCCCAGTCCCTGAAAGCCCTCCGGGGGCCTAGCCCTCTTTCTCAACTCAACTCGAGTCTTAAGTTCAGCGGCTTTCATCGTTGACGAAGACCTGCGCTAATAAGACAAAGAAAGGGGGAGTCTATGCCTTGAATGAATCAGTAACAACGGATTAGTGGAATGAGGGATCAAGAGACGGATAGGGGGGGAATGGCCTATCAATCATTGGTGGACCTTCCCTTGAACCAGTCACGGAGCTCTCAACCGAGTTGTTTAGGTTCTGGAATTCCATCTCTACTCTAGTTGGGGGTTTCGGTTCGAAGGTTATAAAATGTGGTGCGGGTTCATCTATCTCGACCAGTTCAGGTTCAAGGGAGGGTGATCGAGGGGACCCAGACTTTAGATCTCTTCTCTATGGCGGGGGGTTTCTTTCGTATCAAGAGTGTGTTGGGGAGGCCAGGGAAGACGGATTGGATCGAGAGGCGATGCCTATGCCTCTTCTTTATCGATAGAATTCCCATCATTTGAAGTCTCCGGCGAAGGAGACAAGGGTGAGGCACCGAACATGTTCTATCCTCAACCTCCATCCGTCATTAGTAATCTCACTTCGCTTTTCCTATTCACTAGTACACTGCGCGCTACAACTAGCAGCCCCTTGACTAGTAAGGGAAAACGCTAGCGCACTAGCTAGCTACTTATAGCCCCTATTTTTTTATATGTTGGGATATTTAAAGAAGCACAGGTTTGGAACCCTATACAAGGGGCTGCTTGCTGCTCGCCCCTATCTCTAAAGGGGCTTATGCACTCCACTCGCTGTCTACTAAACGACGAAGCCAGGAGCGGAAGGAGGGACTTGAACCCTCAACCTCAGCCTTGGCAAGGCTATGCTCTACCATTAAGCTATTTCCGCCAGCTACGGTAGTGGCGAAGAACTACTGAGCAATTCACGTATCACTTGATACGGACGACTTCTGTTTTTCCGCCGGACCACAGTCTTGACCTCCGATCGAGCTACGAACACGAGTAGGTAGGCGGCTAGGTAGGGTAGGGGGGGAGGGGCGGCTGGGCTGCCTTTTCAATCAATCTCCGGCCGCTCAGTGCCGCTATTGATGCTAGTTGTAAGAAGTCTTGGTCTCGAGTCAAGCTGGGGCGTCATTTCACTCTCGTAACGGGAATGAGTGCACCGCAAGACCAGACAAGTTGCTCCCTCGCCTCGCAGCGGCGGCATCTGTCTTTTAAGTGAAGTCATTTCCTAAGACGGCTCCTCTTATTCTACGATAATCCAAACTGCAGCTCCACGAGTCTGCTCGAAACCGGTCAATTCCTGAGCCATTCATTCTCCCCTCTCGGTTGGCCTTTGCCAGCCACTAGAGCAAGTAAGAGAACCTACAGTGAATGAACTTAAAGAACCGGANTACCCTTGCGACACCCGGTCGAGAAAGCCTGGGGGTCGGACCATCGATTAACAGCACTTTGCCTACTACGTTAGCAATAGATCTAAGGTAGTAGTCTTGAAAAAAACAGATCGGAAGATTCGGAAACTGAATCCACATAGGAACGATTGAAGATTCAGCCCCCGATTTGAAGTCCGCAGACCATTTAACGAATCTGAAGAGATAATCTTTGATGTACATTGCATCTTTCAACCAAAGCTTAATGTAATCCTCTGGAAATGTTGGAATAGATCTAAGAGTCAACAATTTTGCAATGCAAACAACCCATTTTTTGGAGCTGACGCTCTTCTTTTTGTTACCATTCTTCTAAAAAATAGAAACTCGAACTCGAAGGAAAGATCAGAGAGCTTCCCATTCCGGAAATCAAGGAAGATTAAATGCCAGAAAGCCTCCAGGGGGAAGAGGCATTTGATACTTCTGTCCCCCCCTTTCGGTCATCAAGGAAGAACTCGAACAAGAGCTCAAAGGCATTCTTTTTTTTGTTGGTTCATAGTCCACACAGGGTTCTGGTCTTGTTACTTTATGTTTCAGAGTCAATTGATCCCTCGATTAAGTCCTAACTAGAAATATCTTAAGAGAAGACGAGAAATCGTTTGAATTCGAGGCGAAACCCTTCTCCGCCGTTACGGAGTTCTTCTGCTCTAATCTCCGAAATCGAAGGTCAGCTGCCCCTTTTCATAATAATGGAGTTAGTATTGATTCATGCAAAGATGCTCCTCTGAAGCTGGAGTAAGGGATTGTCCACCTCACCGCCCCGAAGAGCAGTGGCTCTGTTGTTTTGCACGCCTACAGAGAGAGACTCCAAAAGTACCGACGCTCAATCGAAAGAAAGAGCAATCAACTATATGCTTCACTCATGCCCCAGGAATCCCTAGACACAGGGGTACGAGCTAATCTTTTACTGGAGGGAAAGCTGGGGAAAAGCATAGAGCGTGCGGGCTCAGCTCTCGCCCTCCTCCCATCCGCGAAGCTGAGGCGGGAGAAAAAGCGTAACTCCCCGGTGTCATAGGTTACCTTTCTATCTTCCTCCCCCGTGACGCTCCCAAAGCGATCGCTATCCTTTTCTTGCTTTCTTGTTGTCTTGAATTGTTATAGAACGGCTTTATATCAGGTATAGCTGGTAGGATGAAGCGTTAGTGGATATAGCAAGTGTGCCGGGGATGCGGCTCGGGCGTAGTAGGTCTGGACGCCTAGCATGAAACAGCCTTCTCTGGTAGCGGCACTATACCTTAGTCTCTCTCTAGCTTCCAGTCTATATAAAACGTAGTTAGCAGAGGTCAGTCTGTCTGGCGTTCCCTCGCGTAAAGGGCTACTTTTGCATCGGCTCTCTCTCCTTAGGTAATTACCGAGGCGAAAGCAGCTCTCTCGGAAGTAAGTTTCCCTGCCATCTTAGTGGGACTAGTCTAATAAACTTTCACTTGAACTGCCAAGACTCAGTTTTTTTTGTTGTGGTAACGCCCTTCTAGAATTACGTTTAACGTCCCTTTATGACTTTCCCGATCGGCGCCTCGGGTCGGTAGCCGGGCTCCGGGACATTACTACCACGGCTACTATCGACCCGAGCCCAAAGTAGGAAAAGAACGAACTAAAGCGAGGAGTTCATTGGCCATACATAGTCAAGGAGGATGGGGGCTNCAATCGAAAGAAAGAGCAATCAACTATATGCTTCACTCATGCCCCAGGAATCCCTAGACACAGGGGTACGAGCTAATCTTTTACTGGAGGGAAAGCTGGGGAAAAGCATAGAGCGTGCGGGCTCAGCTCTCGCCCTCCTCCCATCCGCGAAGCTGAGGCGGGAGAAAAAGCGTAACTCCCCGGTGTCATAGGTTACCTTTCTATCTTCCTCCCCCGTGACGCTCCCAAAGCGATCGCTATCCTTTTCTTGCTTTCTTGTTGTCTTGAATTGTTATAGAACGGCTTTATATCAGGTATAGCTGGTAGGATGAAGCGTTAGTGGATATAGCAAGTGTGCCGGGGATGCGGCTCGGGCGTAGTAGGTCTGGACGCCTAGCATGAAACAGCCTTCTCTGGTAGCGGCACTATACCTTAGTCTCTCTCTAGCTTCCAGTCTATATAAAACGTAGTTAGCAGAGGTCAGTCTGTCTGGCGTTCCCTCGCGTAAAGGGCTACTTTTGCATCGGCTCTCTCTCCTTAGGTAATTACCGAGGCGAAAGCAGCTCTCTCGGAAGTCAGTTTCCCCGCCATCTTAGTGGGACTAGTCTAATAAACTTTCACTTGAACTGCCAAGACTCGGTTTTTTTGTTGTGGTAACGCCCTTCTAGAATTACGTTTAACGTCCCTTTATGACTTTCCCGATCGGCGCCTCGGGTCGGTAGCCGGGCTCCGGGACATTACTACCACGGCTACTATCGACCCGAGCCCAAAGAAGGAAAAGAACGGACTAAAGCGAGGAGTTCATTGGCCATACATAGTCAAGGAGGATGGGGGTTAACCTCTTTCATGACCCATGGCCCCAGTGTGTCACTTGGTTAGCATTTCTAGAACAAATTGAGTAGGGTTGGTTTTTCGATAAGGAAAGAGACAGGGGAGTTGGCTGTAATTGAGACAATTCGGATGGACGATATGGATTTTTTCGAGATGGTTAACCACTTTTTTAACCGTGAGAGGGAGGTCATTCAGAACCCGCTGGCTCCAGAACGGGGGGCGCCTCCAGAGGCGCTGCCGCAGGCACCAGCACCAACGAAAGTTGCCCACCCCGCTCCCGATCAAAACGAGCGTGCGGCACTTCGAAGGCACATTCAAACTTTGATTCGTGAGCAACTTCACGAACATTGTGAAAAGGGGAAAGGACGGCTGCAAGCTAGATAGGGCACTTTCCGGAAATGACGGAAATATACTCCAGTGCCGCGAAGGCGATAATGTCTTACGATCTGGAGATCTCCGCGGAGACGGATACGGAAACCCTCCGCAGATGGGTGGAGAATATAAGGGGGGACCCTAATCTCCTAAAGCCACTGATTAGGGAATATANATACGGAAACCCTCCGCAGATGGGTGGAGAATATAAGGGGGGACCCTAATCTCCTAAAGCCACTCATTAGGGAATAAATACCGGCCAAATGAGGATGCACTCAACACTGCCGCTTTCTTTTTTTTTATAACAGAGCCGTTATTCCCGGCTGGCATAGAAGTCTCTCGCGCGGGCGAAGGAGATGCATTTCTGGTACTGGTGGTATTGGACAAGCTCTCAGGGAAGAATCTCTTTCTTATTTCTGCCTTTCTTTCCCATGACGACTAGGGACAGGCAAATCAAAAATTTCACTTCGAATTCCGGACCTCAACATCCTGCTGCTCATGGTGTTTCACGATCAGTATTGGAAATGAATGGAGAAGTGGTGGAACGTGCAGAAGCACATATTGGATCACTCCAGTGCGGCACGAAGCCGCTGATGCCGAGTCGGCTCTTATGCCGCTAGCTATGCCCTGCTTGGTCCCCCGGCACGGTGGAGGTTCCGTAGCGCGTCATGAGCACCGGGCTAAGGGGCGGTTGAGCAACTCAAGCGAACCGCCCTACCTTACTACAACATAGGGGCAGAAGGGAGAAGGTTGTGAAGGTGGCCTCGTTATCCACACCTCCGGTCGGATGAATGGAGGACCGACCGACCCGGGTTTTCACGAGCGTTGGCGGGTTCTGGAGTGCCTGCCAAGGGCGCTAGCGCATACCCCGGGGTGATCATCACCACCTGCACCTCACATCTCGGCACAGTGGAACGTGTAACCCGCCTGCTGTTCCATTCAACTACATTTGTTCCTGTAATCCATAGCCTAACAGAACGCAGCAGCGAGGGACAACCCGCCCATACAGCCAGCGGGGAGGATGGCACTACTGGCAAAGACCGTCTGGCGAAAACGCCGCAGGCGCGAAGCGTGGTAGGCTTGCGCCGGGGGAGCATAGCATAGGGAGGAAAGGGAGCCCGGACGGTGAAAGAGCCAGGGGAGGCCGGGTCATTTGACGGAAATGGGAGGCTTTTCCCTATGAGAGAAGGCCCTATGGAGTAAAGGGAAGTGCATGAATTCTTGGAAAAAGAGGGAGCGAGCCTATATAAAAAAAGGTTTCAAGCAAATTCAATGAATAGATAGAGTCAACGGTACGACAGACAGCGCTGCCTACACGCGAATTAGCTTCCGAGGTCGAGCAGTCTCAATTTCACTACAGGATTTGCGAATGAATGCTGGGCTGGGCCACCTCGAATGGCGTGAGCCGCATGCGGGGAGACCCGCACGTACGGTTTTTAGGGGGATCTGGTCGAAAGACCGGCCGGAGCCCACCCGACTAGAGGGACTGAGAAATTAATAGAGTACAAAACATATCTTCAAGCTTTACCTTATTCTGATCATTCAGAGGGCGATCGCGGGGTCATTGAATGAAGTCCTCCATTTTTTTTGNCTTATGCCGCTAGCTATGCCCTGCTTGGTCCCCCGGCACGGTGGAGGTTCCGTAGCGCGTCATGAGCACCGGGCTAAGGGGCGGTTGAGCAACTCAAGCGAACCGCCCTACCTTACTACAACATAGGGGCAGAAGGGAGAAGGTTGTGAAGGTGGCCTTGTTATCCACACCTCCGGTCAGATGAATGGAGGACCGACCGACCCGGGTTTTCACGAGCGTTGGCGGGTTCTGGAGTGCCTGCCAAGGGCGCTAGCGCATACCCCGGGGTGATCATCACCACCTGCACCTCACATCTCGGCACAGTGGAACGTGTAACCCGCCTGCTGTTCCATTCAACTACATTTGTTCCTGTAATCCATAGCCTAACAGAACGCAGCAGCGAGGGACAACCCGCCCATACAGCCAGCGGGGAGGATGGCACTACTGGCAAAGACCGTCTGGCGAAAACGCCGCAGGCGCGAAGCGTGGTAGGCTTGCGCCGGGGGAGCATAGCATAGGGAGGAAAGGGAGCCCGGACGGTGAAAGAGCCAGGGGAGGCCGGGTCATTTGACGGAAATGGGAGGCTTTTCCCTATGAGAGAAGGCCCTATGGAGTAAAGGGAAGTGCATGAATTCTTGGAAAAAGAGGGAGCGAGCCTATATAAAAAAAGGTTTCAAGCAAATTCAATGAATAGATAGAGTCAACGGTACGACAGACAGCGCTGCCTACACGCGAATTAGCTTCCGAGGTCGAGCAGTCTCAATTTCACTACAGGATTTGCGAATGAATGCTGGGCTGGGCCACCTCGAATGGCGTGAGCCGCATGCGGGGAGACCCGCACGTACGGTTTTTAGGGGGATCTGGTCGAAAGACCGGCCGGAGCCCACCCGACTAGAGGGACTGAGAAATTAATAGAGTACAAAACATATCTTCAAGCTTTACCTTATTCTGATCGTTCAGAGGGCGATCGCGGGGTCACTGAATGAAGTCCTCCGTTTTTTTCGGAGGTGCTGACCCGCAGCGAGGCAGAGATGACTAAGTGACATATGGAATATGGCGACGACAACAGCATGTCGTAGAAGGAGATAACAGGTGGAGCCAACGACCCACTAAGACTGACGTATCTACAACTACATCCCCGAGCGGCAGTCAAACGAGGGCGTGAATGCAAGATGCCAGCGGAATGATTGACTGGACAGAGGCTAGGGCTACTTCCTTCCCACTGCGTCCTTCCTTGTGTGTCGAANGAGTGCCTGCCAAGGGCGCTAGCGCATACCCCGGGGTGATCATCACCACCTGCACCTCACATCTCGGCACAGTGGAACGTGTAACCCGCCTGCTGTTCTATTCAACTACATTTGTTCCTGTAATCCATAGCCTAACAGAACGCAGTAGCGAGGGACAACCCGCCCATACAGCCAGTGGGGAGGATGGCACTACTGGCAAAGACCGTCTGGTGAAAACGCCGCAGGCGCGAAGAGTGGTAGGCTTGCGCCGGGGGAGCATAGCATAGGGAGGAAAGGGAGCCCGGACGGTGAAAGAGCCAGGGGAGGCCGGGTCATTTGACGGAAATGGGAGGCTTTTCCCTATGAGAGAAGGCCCTATGGAGTAAAGGGAAGTGCATGAATTCTTGGAAAAAGAGGGAGCGAGCCTATATAAAAAAAGGTTTCAAGCAAATTCAATGAATAGATAGAGTCAACGGTACGACAGACAGCGCTGCCTACACGCGAATTAGCTTCCGAGGTCGAGCAGTCTCAATTTCACTACAGGATTTGCGAATGAATGCTGGGCTGGGCCACCTCGAATGGCGTGAGCCGCATGCGGGGAGACCCGCACGTACGGTTTTTAGGGGGATCTGGTCGAAAGACCGGCCGGAGCCCACCCGACTAGAGGGACTGAGAAATTAATAGAGTACAAAACATATCTTCAAGCTTTACCTTATTCTGATCGTTCAGAGGGCGATCGCGGGGTCACTGAATGAAGTCCTCCGTTTTTTTCGGAGGTGCTGACCCGCAGCGAGGCAGAGATGACTAAGTGACATATGGAATATGGCGACGACAACAGCATGTCGTAGAAGGAGATAACAGGTGGAGCCAACGACCCACTAAGACTGACGTATCTACAACTACATCCCCGAGCGGCAGTCAAACGGGGGCGTGAATGCGAGATGCCAGCGGAATGATCGGCCGGACAGAGGCTAGGGCTGCTTCCTTCCCACCGCGTCCTTCCTTGTGTGTCGGAGATATAAAGCGAGTGCACCGGAAAAGAACGGGAACTGGGTCGATCTATTCTATGGCGAAGCATCCGAAGCATAACTGCACACTCACACGACCTTTGCCGAGAGATAGGAGCATTCGGTGGAACCGGTGAACTACACTTGCTTCTGGATAGATGTGTGGGACAGAGGGCTCGTGGTACCTTCTGCCCACCCTTCCTCCTCTGCTTTGAGAACCGTGTGAACGGAGAGTGGGCAGAACAGAAGGGAAGGAGGTCCTCATACGGAGTCGCACACTTACTTGAGCAGTGCGGGAGACTGGGGAATGGGTCGAGTAAACTCCCCCGGGGCCGAAAAAATCACAGACGAAGCTTTACTTAGATAGAGCTTTGATTGGAAAGGAGGGCGCCTGGGTATGTTGTAGAAAGGGAAGGCAGAGGCATCGAATGTCGAAGAGAGGCAGCTCAGNCCTTCTCCGCCGTTACGGAGTTCTTCTGCTCTAATCTCCGAAATCGAAGGTCAGCTGCCCCTTTTCATAATAATGGAGTTAGTATTGATTCATGCAAAGATGCTCCTCTGAAGCTGGAGTAAGGGATTGTCCACCTCACCGCCCCGAAGAGCAGTGGCTCTGTTGTTTTGCACGCCTACAGAGAGAGACTCCAAAAGTACCGACGCTCAATCGAAAGAAAGAGCAATCAACTATATGCTTCACTCATGCCCCAGGAATCCCTAGACACAGGGGTACGAGCTAATCTTTTACTGGAGGGAAAGCTGGGGAAAAGCATAGAGCGTGCAGGCTCAGTTCTCGCCCTCCTCCCATCCGCGAAGCTGAGGCGGGAGAAAAAGCGTAACTCCCCAGTGTCATAGGTTACCTTTCTATCTTCCTCCCCCGTGACGCTCCCAAAGCGATCGCTATCCTTTTCTTGCTTTCTTGTTGTCTTGAATTGTTATAGAACGGCTTTATATCAGGTATAGCTGGTAGGATGAAGCGTTAGTGGATATAGCAAGTGTGCCGGGGATGCGGCTCGGGCGTAGTAGGTCTGGACGCCTAGCATGAAACAGCCTTCTCTGGTAGCGGCACTATACCTTAGTCTCTCTCTAGCTTCCAGTCTATATAAAACGTAGTTAGCAGAGGTCAGTCTGTCTGGCGTTCCCTCGCGTAAAGGGCTACTTTTGCATCGGCTCTCTCTCCTTAGGTAATTACCGAGGCGAAAGCAGCTCTCTCGGAAGTCAGTTTCCCCGCCATCTTAGTGGGACTAGTCTAATAAACTTTCACTTGAACTGCCAAGACTCGGTTTTTTTGTTGTGGTAACGCCCTTCTAGAATTACGTTTAACGTCCCTTTATGACTTTCCCGATCGGCGCCTCGGGTCGGTAGCCGGGCTCCGGGACATTACTACCACGGCTACTATCGACCCGAGCCCAAAGAAGGAAAAGAACGGACTAAAGCGAGGAGTTCATTGGCCATACATAGTCAAGGAGGATGGGGGTTAACCTCTTTCATGACCCATGGCCCCAGTGTGTCACTTGGTTAGCATTTCTAGAACAAATTGAGTAGGGTTGGTTTTTCGATAAGGAAAGAGACAGGGGAGTTGGCTGTAATTGAGACAATTCGGATGGACGATATGGATTTTTTCGAGATGGTTAACCACTTTTTTAACCGTGAGAGGGAGGTCATTCAGAACCCGCTGGCTCCAGAACGGGGGGCGCCTCCAGAGGCGCTGCCGCAGGCACCAGCACCAACGAAAGTTGCCCACCCCGCTCCCGATCAAAACGAGCGTGCGGCACTTCGAAGGCACATTCAAACTTTGATTCGTGAGCAACTTCACGAACATTGTGAAAAGGGGAAAGGACGGCTGCAAGCTAGATAGGGCACTTTCCGGAAATGACGGAAATATACTCCAGTGCCGCGAAGGCGATAATGTCTTACGATCTGGAGATCTCCGCGGAGACGGATACGGAAACCCTCCGCAGATGGGTGGAGAATATAAGGGGGGACCCTAATCTCCTAAAGCCACTCATTAGGGAATAAATACCGGCCAAATGAGGATGCACTCAACACTGCCGCTTTCTTTTTTTTTATAACAGAGCCGTTATTCCCGGCTGGCATAGAAGTCTCTCGCGCGGGCGAAGGAGATGCATTTCTGGTACTGGTGGTATTGGACAAGCTCTCAGGGAAGAATCTCTTTCTTATTTCTGCCTTTCTTTCCCATGACGACTAGGGACAGGCAAATCAAAAATTTCACTTCGAATTCCGGACCTCAACATCCTGCTGCTCATGGTGTTTCACGATCAGTATTGGAAATGAACGGAGAAGTGGTGGAACGTGCGGAACCACATATTGGATCACTCCAGTGCGGCACGAAGCCGCTGATGCCGAGNAATGTGTGTAAGCCCAGTCAAACATGACTGTTCTAGGCGGGGCGGGCCACCCACCTAAGAATGGTGTTGGTCCTACGGACCATNCTAAAAAAGCTATAAACAAAGTATACCAAAGTTGTTGCGGGAACGATACGCTTTGGTTACCGGCGAACGCTTCCAAAGGCGACCAGCTTTCAATACTAGTTGTTACCTTACGCTGCCATTTTTCCAATATTATGGAATAGCATGGCCTGGGGCTAAGATAACTCAAGTGGGAGAGCCGTGTTATGGGTGACCTTATTGCACGGTTCAGAGAGCACTTGTGTATGTGATGCAAGTGAACGTGTACGAAAAAGCTGTCGTAAAGTTTCGTTGTTCGTTCCGTCGTCGACCCTATCTATGTTTCTACGATGGCCCAAGAACACGCTCATTCTTCAGCCGTAGAGATACTTTTGAATTGTGAGGTACCACTACGAGCTCAATATATACGAGTGTTATTCCGTGAAATAACTCAAATTTCAAATCATTCACTTGCTTTAACTACTCATGCTATGGATGTGGGAGCATCAACTTCGTTCCTGTGGGCTTTTGAGGAGTGGGAGAAATTGTTGGAATTATATGAAAGAGTCTCGGGAGCCAGGATGCATGCCAGTTTCATACGACCAGGTGGAGTGGCACAAGATCTGCCTCTTGGCTTATGTCGAGATATTGATTCCTCCACACAACAATTTGCTTCTCGTATCGACGAATTAGAAGAGATGTCAACCAGCAACCGTATCTGGAAACAACGATTAGTGGATATTGGTACTGTCACTGCACAGCAAGCAAAGGATTGGGGATTCAGTGGTGTAATGTTAAGAGGTCGTGCGACATGAAGACATTGATAGCAATATGGGGGAAGTTCCCATCAGGCAACAACGGTTCTGCCTGACCCTACTTAAGCATGCATATTATGTCAGTGAAGACTTGGTGTGAAGCCTTGGAGCTTACGTTAGAAGAGCAAAAGGCCCGGGGCTAGGGTGAGCTGAGGGGGGACAGCGTAAGTGAGCGAATGTGTGTAAGCCCAGTCAAACATGACTGTTCTAGGCGGGGCGGGCCACCCACCTTCGAATGGTGTTGGTCCTACGGACCGTGAACGGATTCGCCTCTGGCCTCTGGGCACGTCGGAACCGCATGAGTTCACCGGGGTGGAGCACGGTCCGCCAAAATCGGCATAGGTTAGGTGCTATTGATGGAACATGGTAAGCCTATCTTTCTCCATATGGAAGTGCTGCGGGCATATAGAAATGTGGGTAGAGGAAGCCTCAAAAAGCGAAGGCCGAGCTGTAGGTCACGTGACCTGCACCGAGTTGGTGGCTGACTGGGCTTTTTATTTGATCAAAGCAGATAAGCTCGCCTTCTTGTTATCCAAAAGTCGGTCGAATCGGGCGGGCCCCCGCCCCGGAACGTCGAATGAAATAGGTGGCCGGGTTCTCTTTCTACGACCCTTTTGTTTGTTTGTTTGATAGGCCCGGCCCCCGGCCACCTATCCCTTATGTTTAGGAGCGGGATCCGCCCAAGAACGTTCTTGTGGTGGTACGGAAGGCACGGACTCCGCGAACGTGCCACGCCCCCTTTACTAAACTAAACTAAACTAAACTAAACTAAACTAAACTAAACTAAACTAAA